AAAAAAAAAAAAAAAAAAAAAAAAAAAAAAAAAAAAAAGACCAGTTGTCTGCAAGGATGCAAAACTAGAGCCCCCATACTTACTGTTGAGAAAATCTGATTGTATAGCCAATTTATAGGAGAGTTAAAAATTTCTTATAAAGTTAACTATACAATCCAGGAATTGCACTCATAGATATTTAACCAACAGAAATAAAATCACTGTCTACAAAAAGGATTGAATAAAACTGTTCATCATAACTATGTATAATAGCTGAAAAGAAGAAATAGTACAAGTTGTTATCAACCAGTAAATTGTAATTGTGTTGTATCTGTACAGTTGAATACTACTCAGTAATTAAAAGCAATAGGCTACCAATACAGCAGAAGTGAATCTCACAACTGTTACGCTGACCAAAAGGTTAAACATAAGAGAATACATGCTTTTACATTTTTATGAAATTACAAAATAGGCAAAATTTAACCTGCAGTGACAGCAAGAACAGTGATTGCATGGAACTAGGAGTGGCAGGAAATGACTCCAAGCACAATTTCTTGGTGGCTCCTTTATATAGGTGTTGATAACATAGATATATAAACTTGTCAAAATTTAATGTGAGGTCAGGGATTTAGCTCAGTGGTGCTGTGCCTGCCTGGCAAGTGCAGGGTCCTGAGTTCAATCCCTGGTACTGGAAAAAAAGAAAATTAATATATACTGAAGTAGGTACATACTGTGTACTGCTTATTCCTCATAGTTGATTTTAAAAACAAAATATTTCAAAGCTATTAATATTTTATAATAAAAATAATGAGTTGGAGAGGTATGATTGCTTTCCCAAACTGGATTATCATTTAAAATCTTACTGTGAAAGATTTGTCTTTTAATTCAGAATCTGCCCTGATGAAATCTTTAAAAATCATTGCTTCATAAACATCTTTCCTAAGAACAACTTCAGATGACCAATGAGTTAGCTTCATCTTTCCTTGTAGAAAATAAGCTGCAATTGAAATCTATTCAGAAACAAAATGGCCTTTCTCTTTTTCTTTCCTGAAAGAAAATACACAGATAACCTCTTAAGCACTTCCCCACATGAGCAGTTTTATAAGGCATTTGTTGGAGAGCAAAAGCAAAGCTTTGCTCAGGATAGAAATGTCCCTGTGATGACCAGCCTCCTGCTGTTTCCTTTATGTAACTGCTAAAATGGAAATCCTTTGCAGTGCACTTGCAGGACGTGGTCCTTGACCTTCCAGTGCTTTCCATCTAATAGGAGAAGGAAAGTAAAATGCAAGAAACAATGAAGTGAGTTGAAGTGAAGTGTGTTCAGAGAAGGAAGAGCTAGCTAGCAAGGCATAGTAGAGCAGTCAGGAAAGACTTGCCCAGCTTGAAAGATTGTCAGAATAGTGCTTGAAACAGAGATGAGAAGGAATACTGCCTGTGCAGAACACAATAAACAGGTGGACTCTATTAGAAAAGAGGGTGTATACTGAAAAGTAGTAAAGATAAAATTAACTTGACATAAAGTAAATTTGACCTGTATGTTTAATCTCCATGTATATAGGGTCATATAATGCTGAATGAAACAAGCAACTCAGGTGAAAAAGTGCATTTTGGAATTTATTCCTAAAACTAGTGAATAAATAATAAATTAGTGCTCTCTCCTGAGCTTCACACCCGTATAAATGTTTACCTGTTCGGTTTCTGCCCTTGGGTGGGTATATTTAGATTTTCCATCTGGTGCAAATTTAAAGTTAGTATCTCTTTCCCAAAACACTTCTACCAATCAAGAGATATTTGATATCCCAGATACTGCTAGAGATAGAGCAGTGAATCAGATAAACATGGTCATAGTTATTAGAAATAACACAGTTTTAAAATAATTAAGTGTTCACAATGCTGAAGAAGAGAAATGATGTTACAGGCTATGTAGGTAGAGGCTAACCGCTGTGAGATAAGCCCTTTCAGATGAACAGGTTTATCTAGATGTAGAGGGCGGATAAGATATGTTCCCAACCTAACCATCAGTGGTGGAAAAGAACACAGTACTCAGGGAACAGGGTGGTGACCAGAGAAAATGGAGCACAGAGAAAAAGGAAAGAGGTGGGGGAGAGAAGTTGAAACAGTGTCTTGTTTGTCTAGAGAGGATGAGGGAGAGAGGGCTTTTAATGATTCCCAGATTGTTGACTTGAACAGAAGGATAGGTAGTAGTGCTATTAACTGGACTAGTGAACAGTGGAGCAGGTCTGAAGTGGAGGGAGAGAGGGAAGAGAGAAAGATTTGGGATATCCAAGAAATGCCAAACAGTTGAACATAGAGGTCTGGGCCCAGAAGAAAGGTCTACACTGGAGATACGTATTTGCAGTTTCAAGCTAATCAAAACAAAGGAAACAAAGTGCAAGGACCTGAGTTTGATCCCTGGTACCAAAAAAACAAAAGAAACAAAGTACATAGGAAGTGACAAGAACAAGCCTTGGAATTGTATATCCTGATGGATCTGCCTCAGTCCTCAGTTTTAGTAAAAGATATCACGGTCTAGGATGTTGCCCAATGCACTTTTTCTTTGCCAGTCAAGTAAGTAGTTTTATTGATTCCATTTGTTGTCGTTTCTGTCTGATCTGGGAGCACCGGGTGCCTCCACATATTGCCCATTATTATCTGAAGAGTGGGCAATCAAAAAAACAAGGCAACTGTTTTGTTTTTGAAGTAACACAGTCCACATGAAATGCGGCCACTTGGTCTCACATTCCGCGATCCCGGGATCACCTCCAGGCCAGTTAAATCTTGTCCAACCAAGATGTTTTCGTGATGGCTGCATGAGGTTTGCTGGTTTGGATCAGGAGGACCCCTGGAGAGTTGGGGGCATTCTTCACTTAGTGCATCTCCTGCTTCTCTAGCTTGCCTGTTCCAATCACTGTCCTTCAGAAAAAGAAGAGTTTAATATCAAGCTCTACCGAAAGGTTCCAACATAGGGAAATCTGTTAAATCATTCTCATCCAAGCTGTGCCTTGTGCAACAAATACTAAACGATAGTAGGAGACTCAGGTGCAGTCAGCATCCACCGCTGAGACTGAAGCCAGGAAGTTGATCTGACAAGATTTTTTTCCATCATTCTCTCTCCTCACACCCAGAAATAATTCCAGATTTTTAAAAAATGAATTTCTCAAGTTAAAATTATGCACCTTTGAATTTAAAAATTTTTATGAGAATTTTCTTTTTAATTGTGTCAACTGTTTCTTTCCCTCAGATCCAAGTTCTCACTATGTGATAACCCTGAAAGCATTTAACAATGTGGGTGAAGGCATCCCCCTATATGAGAGTGCCGTGACCAGGCCACACACAGGTAGGGAATCCTGTCTGTCTCTGGGGCTCGGCACTTTTCCCAGTGTCTTGCATTTTGACATGAATCCTGCCTTTCTGTTCATGGAAGAAAAGTATATGGTGGTTTAGGGTGTAGATTTCAAATGGGAACATGGGCTTTCAGCATGGAAAGTTCTATTAATTCCTGTTTTGCTTCTTAGAAAAGAGTAAGCCCATTATGTAAGCCATTATGCATAGGTGATGTGTTTTTAGTGTGTTAGGCTCTAAAAGGCATAGTTTTGAGAGAATTAGAGGTGATTTTTCATCTTCTAGTTGTTAATTATAACTAAGATGAAAAAAAACTATAACTAAAATCAGTCAAAAAGTGAAAGTACTTCTGTGTCTCTAGAAGAATTATAGGTTACTGATTGTGGCAGTAAATATATGTGATTGCTAAAGTCACCATTTGCTTTCTCGTCTCTTAAGTTGCTTGGGAAAATGTATTTTTATGTATCTTTCATATGCTTCATATTTGTATAAAGTCAGGCACTATCCGTTTGATCAGTTGTATCTTGATTATAAGAGAGTAAATATTGTTTTTAATTATCTTTTAAATATCTCTAAATCAGTATGCATATATTGTGAAATTTCTATAGATACTAATTTAGATCTGAATGAGAGCTTACTGAGGAAAATATATTAGAATTGTGGTTTTTTTTTTTCTTTCAAAGGCACTGAAAACCAGACTTTCAGAAAATTCTTTTTTTCCATTTGTTTTCCAAAAGTTTGAATAAATATTATATGACATCTTTTAGATGCTTTACATGATAACACACATTTGGCAGTATTCTTGTTAAAAGTTAATCTCTGTCACTTTTTGTTTTATTATTTTAATAAAGCTTTTACTTTAGACTAACATTACTATATATTCAGTAGTTCTGTCCTGTCTTCTCCTATGTGCTTGCAATTTTTAAGTTCTTTTTTAAATAGGTTTCGTGTTCCAGAAAAGGAGTTTAAAAAAAAAGTACAAAAAGTATTTTATAAGAGGTCTTCTACTTTCTTAATTGGGCTGAAGTAGAAAAAAACAAAATTATTTTATTTTATGTGGCTTAAAAATATTATACACTGACTAGTATTATACAAGGAAATATTCTTGAATCATATATCCGAATTACATCTTCCAAGAGTTGGTACATATAAGTTGGTACATGTAAGGAATTCTAATGATTCCTGCACCTGAAGATGCATTTTCTGTAACTAATTGCTATGTGTCCTGACAGTCTTTCTGCAGAGCCCTTGATTATAATGTATGCTGCTCCTCTATTATTTTTAAACCTCATTGTGCAGGAAATACACTCAGGGAGACTATTACTTTAGTGTGGCAATTATTCATAAGGCCTGTGCCATTTCAGATTTTAAATTACAGGAAGTTAGTCACCATAACTATGGAAAACCCATTTTAAAACTTGAACTTAAAATAAATCAGTATGTATATACTTGGAGAACCTAATCCAGAATGGCAAAGCCTCAAAGGGATCTTGCTGTATTGCCCTAAGCTCGTGACCCTTAGTATTTTTGTGCTCATCCCTACCTGTGGTTTGTGGTGGCACTTAGGATGTGTCTGTTGCCGGGGGCACGGCACAGTGACCAAATTGTGACTTTCCTTTCCATCAAATGAGTACTCTATTTCTACAGTCCTTGAAGGCTCTGGCACTTCAGCCCGTGGTAACCACAGACATGGTAACCCTTAGTCAATGCAGACTCATCTCTGGGTGGTTCTCTGGCTGCTGGAGAAAGTACAGCAGACAGTCCATTGTAGTATGAGCTTACTTTCCTTAAAGAAGAATGCCTTTGAGTTCCTTTGCTTTATTTGATTGTGAGCCAAATTGCCACACTGCCTCTCACCTAAGATATCAGCAGGTGTGAACTCAACCCATGGACTGACATTCAAGGCTTGGTTAAGAGCAGGACTCTTGAATTTCTGGTGATATGCGCTGATAACTCAGGTTCCCAAAATTTAGCCAGATTTATTGAAATCTCAAATCATGGGCTTTGTGCTGCTTGTTCATAAATTATAGAAAAGCAGTTATTTTTTGTCTTTTCATAATCTTTTTGGACAGGAGGTGGAATTTTCAAGTAATTATAAAAATTCAACTATGTATATGTTAATATAATCACACATTTTAATATATCTTTTGTATGCAGTACAGAAGATAGTTAATTACTGCTCCTCTTAACATTTTCCTACAAATTTTTCCTGAAAGAATACAAGTGGAAATATTCTTTTAAATGATTGATGGTTGTCTATTAACTCTGGATTTTCCTTCTTTTTCTCCATTCCTCATTTTTCATTTCGTTATATTTACCCTGCATTTTCCTTTTATTTTTGTTTACATTAAAATGCCCCTTCCCTTTTTTAATTACTTTCTGCCCAGACACTTCTGAAGTTGATTTATTTGTTATTAATGCTCCATACACTCCAGTGCCAGATCCCACTCCCATGATGCCACCAGTGGGAGTTCAGGCTTCCATTCTGAGTCATGACACCATAAGGATCACATGGGCAGACAACTCCCTGCCCAAACACCAGAAGATTACAGACTCCCGGTACTACACAGTCCGATGGAAAACCAACATCCCGGCAAACACCAAGTACAAGGTATTAAAACATTGACTTTGGGTGAAAAAAACCTAGTTGTTGAAATTTTCTAATTTTAAAGTTTCTGATTCCCATTTTCTTCAGAATGCAAATGCAACAACATTAAGTTATTTGGTGACTGGTTTAAAACCAAACACACTCTATGAATTCTCTGTGATGGTGACCAAAGGCCGAAGATCAAGCACATGGAGTATGACAGCACATGGGACCACCTTTGAATTGGGTATGTATTTTCAGCGCCCATGTCCACACTGTCTTCTCTTGGCAAAATATGAAGCCAGTGGAAGTCCATGCTAATGTTGTGTGCCACATTCAAAGTCATGAGACTTCTTGTCACCTGTTTTTACAGCCTAGGGAAAGTACTGCATACATTAATTGACATATTTACAGAATACAGCGAAGAGCTACTTCTGGAGTTGTGTTTTGCCACTGTACAAAAATATAGGCAGATAGCAGGATAATATAGTACAAAGCATACTAGATTTTAGGAATTAAGAGATTTGAGTTCAACCCCAGGTCATTGGTCTGCTGATGGTATGATCATGAGCAAGTTATCTAGTCTCTCTCAGTCTTTTCAGTTCTATAAATGAGAGGTAGTAACCCTTGCCTTTCCTACAGGTTTATTGTAAGGTAAAATGAGTAACAAGTGGGAGAGCACATGGCAAATTATAAAGCATTGGGTAGAGATATAAGTGATTATTGTCATTAATCCTACTTTTCTGATAAATTAAGATTGAAAAACTGAAGAGATTTGTCCTTGACCAAGTAGTTGCCATCCATATGTGCTAAAGCCTGATCTCTTGACCAGGTAAACCCAAACCTACCTTAGAAACTTTCTTGAAAAAGCTAAGTATCTTTGCAAAATCTTTTACTGAAATATCCTTTGGATTTTTGTAAGTAACCATTAGAGAAAAAAGCTACATAAAGTAAGGAGAGAGTGGGTTCTTCAGGTTTGAGATTGTTTGCTTTTTGCTCACTTTTAGGCCTGTTCTATTTCCCCTTGGGCTTTCCTAGCAAGGGGATATGTGTAACCATTGGGCATCTCTGCCTGTGCTAACTCCCATACCTTCCTCTCCTGTGTAGGGATAATGAAAAACCAGGAGTATAAATTATCCACAAGCTGAGCTTGACTCTTCTGCACAGTCGGTTAGAGTACCTGCAAAAAGAAGGGTTGAACTTGCAGAGTTAGAAACTCCTGCACTAAAATTGAAATACACATTTAGTTTGTTTTCTTTGCCAGTGTGTTAACAATCTTTTTGCTTTAATTCTAACCATTGGCTAATAAATAAAATTTGTATTTATCCTTGTTTGTGTTTAACCAGGCTTCCTTTTATCTTATACCAGAATTTCAGTATTTCAAAAAAGTAAATTTGAGGAGCTACTTAATATGCATGTTTCTGTACTAGAATATTAAATGTTTTCAGCTATAATAATATGGAAGGAAATATAAGAAAACACACTTGTTTTCATTTTGTTGCTATTTTAGAGCTTTTCTCTGGAGCAGTAACCTCAGTAGTTTTTTCAGTGTAATCTTAAAATGAAAAATGTCAGTTTATAAATCATTTGTTTCTTGCAGGCATAGTGATCTTAAAGTCCTTTGGTTTGGAGAGCCAACTATATTTAAGGGAGAAAAATATTTTACACTTAAAATATTCTAACAGAATAATCCAAATCAAGGGAGAGGAAGTTATCTTGGGTGAATTACATAACTTCTCTCATTTTTGGTGTCCTGACCTGTAGAGCATGGACAGTGGTAGCCATCTCTCAAGGTTCCATATTAAATATTAAATGAGGGGCTGGGGGTTTAGCTTAGTGGTGCCGTTGCCTGCCTTGCAAGCACAGGTCCTAAGTTCAGTCCCTGGGGTGTGTGTGTGTGTGTGTGTGTGTGTGTGTGTGTATTAAATGAGATACTTTTTGTACAATGCCTGGCATATAATAGGTATTTGGTACAACTGACGCTTGATTTACCTACCTATATATTACCTGATCCCCCAATGGAGATGACAGTTCTGGGTCCTCATAGTATCTTTTCTCTTTTTGTACTTTGCATATTCTTCTTCTTTTTATTTTTCCAGTACCGGGGATTGAACTCAGGAGGTTGTGCTTGCTGGTCAAGTACAGCACCACTGAGCTAAATCTCCAGCCCTGCATATTCTTCTTTTTGTGGGAACTGTTTGCACATAGTTACACAATGACTATGAGTTCGTTGAAGCAAGGGGGCTTACATTTTTTGTCCTGTACATTTTTTGTGCTTTACAATTGGAAAAGTTAGGGCTGGGGATTTAGCTCAGTGGTTCCACTGCCTGCCTCACAGGCTCAAGGACCCGAGTTCAATCCCCGGTACCAAAAGAAAAAAAGAAATACAATTGGAAAAGTTTGGGGAAATGGTGAATTTATATTATAGTGGACAGGTATTATTCAGAGTATTGTTATTTTGTAGTTCCTACTTCTCCACCTAAGGATGTGACAGTTGTAAGTAAAGAGGGAAAACCTAGGACCATAATTGTGAATTGGCAGCCTCCCTCTGAAGCCAATGGCAAAATTACAGGTAAGATGCCTTCAAGTATGTGTTTGCCTATGCCCTGTTCTAGGACATTACTGTGTTGTCAAAAGAAGTGGGAGTCTGAAGGCTGACTTGATCATTTTTTGGGAGGTGTGAGCCATGATGCTTTTTGAAAGTAGAGGTGCTCTTTTCCCACAGTAGCATTGAAATGAATTTCTAGCTGATGGTTCAGCCTCATGCTGCCTGCGAGACTGATGGGAATGAAGTGCCCTAGACAACCTTTGGCTATACTGGGACTTTATGGACATATATATATATTTTTTTTTTTCCTTGGAAAAGCTGTTCACTGCCTAGATCACCATCTTTGGAGTCTTATAGCCCCACTTGATTATATAGGACAATAACCCAGAAATAACGATTCTGCTCTTTTACCTTAAAACCTCAAATGCCCATTAGAGTTTTGATTCCTTTTCCCTGCAAGGCCTACCATTTCAGGTCCTAGGCTCTTACAACTAGTTAAGAGCTTGAATTGTCCTTGACTTTGGAAAGGATCTGGAATTTTTCCGCAGACTTTCAAAAGATCTTCCACAGTAGAGAGGAACTATGCCTTCCTCAGCCTTATCAGGCAGGGGAATCTGATGAGATTTGGCTGTTGGTCCTTCCCTTTTGAGCCTCTGCTCCATGAAAGTGGGTGCTGAAGAATTGAGTTTGCATTCTGAAATATGAATAAGGTGACCTAAAGAAGTGTTTCATAGCACTGTCTTCCTTTTACCTTTCCATAAACTCTGATCTTTATGTCATTTTTTTGGTTTTTTTACTCTTTCCGCTTCCATGAAAGAATTAAGCACAATGTGATTCAGATTACATTTTACTTTGTCTTTTAAAACCACTAACAATGGTGAGAGTGTTTGCATGGATGGTGTGGATCAGGTAGTCTGGCAGTTGAGGTTTCTTCCTCATGGGTAAGGATTGAGTGCCCCCTGGTGGAAGTATTTGGTGACAGTTCACTGGCTTTCACCAGGGTATGAGGGAATTAATCAGAGGTTGCCACCCATCTGCCAGGAGTTTTTCCTCCTGGGATATCAATTTGATGAGAGCTAAACCAGCATGTCAGGCCATTACTGGTTTTCAAAACTGTGTTATTTTAATTGGAGACCCTTGAGGAAGTAAACCTTTTAGAGTTTTCAGTGATACAAACAGCCCACTGCTGCACGTGTGCCATAGGTTTGTTACCACCATGATGTAGTAGGCATGTAATGGTAATATATACTTACTGGCTTCCTATTACAAAAAGAAAAACAGGAATGAGATTTCTTTTCCCATTAACTCCTTTGGACAGGCTACATCATATATTACAGTACAGATGTGAATGCAGAGATACATGACTGGGTTATTGAGCCTGTGGTGGGAAACAGACTGACTCACCAGATTCAAGAGCTAACGCTTGATACTCCATATTACTTCAAAATCCAGGCCCGGAACTCAAAGGGTATGGGGCCCATGTCTGAAGCTGTGCAATTCAGAACACCTAAAGGTAAATCTCCCTGAGCTGAGGGTTATATTGTTTTTTTATTGTTTCTCTTTAGTGGGGCTGTGCTTACACATATCACTCTGGCAGATAGCATCTATGAGTAATACAAGAAGTCCTGTGAGTAATACATGTCAGCCATAATGTGACAATTTATCCCAAAGGATCCTTCACTTACTCACTACCAAATCACTACTGCCCAGGTTACTGGCCTAATCATTTCACAGCAGGGGAACTTTGGCTTGAGGTTGTTTGGGGCAGATGAATTGCAATGCTGTACAAGTTACTACCAGTCAAATCAGATAGGATCATTTGTTTCATATTCATAGTGATACAGCATGTTATTGTAATGGGTGGTTCTCTTTCAACACACACAAACTGTTAATCTAAAAGGATTATTTATGGGCCTTTGTAGAGAATAAGAAACTAAAAGGTCTTTATACCTTTTGTATAAAATTTGAGAAAAGAAAATGGAGATAAAGTATCAAAAATTTAGGCTAATGAAATTTAGTTGGGGATTCAGTCTGGAATTGTGGAAGCCCAGATGTCTTTTCTGTTAGCACTGAAAGCAAGACTCAGTTTATTTGGAAATTTGTGGGGATTTTATTTTTTTCCTTTAAATCTTCTGTATGTCCCATCTTCAAAGCTTGTGATCCTTGCTCTCATTTTTTCTTCCCCTGTGCTTGGCCTGTTAGCGGACTCCTCTGATAAAATGCCTAATGACCAAGGTAAATGAGTAGATGGCCTGTCTTCTCTTCTTTCTTTTGTGACCTATTATTAGCTTTTTGTTTTCATTTATTTTTTCTTCTTCTTCTTCTTAAAAGCCAGTATCATGTATTAAAACTGCCTATTTATTGTTGGCCAGCGTGGAATGGAGTCCCATGTTTGTAGCACTTGGGGTATCTGAAAAGCTGGAGGATTTACTTAGTAGCTAAACAGACTGGTGGAAGAAAACTGAGTCAAATAAACCAAGTCCTCAGCTATAGCATACTGGCAAGTGTGAGCCAGATTATCTTTATATGCTGGGATACTGAAGTTCTGTAACAGTGATGGGCATTGAAATCATGAAGAGACCACTTAAACAGATTATTCATAGAATTTTAGTAGAATCTTGGAATGTGAAATTGGAATCAAATTCAGTGAATATCATGCCCCCCAACCTACATGTTTATCTGACTAAATTACATGATTATCCATCAGCAAGAATATTGCCTTTATTCCATTACGGTGAGTTCATTCAGAGCTCTTTTCCATTTCTTCTCTTAAATGTGTCTCATCATTTTAAAAGAGGATAAAACTATTAACATGGAACATAGGTAGCATGGATATGATCATTCTTAAAATCATCTGTTATCACTTCGCTGCAGTGCCCGTGGCGGAAGAGTAGCTGTACTTGTGATTTTGATCTCTCAGAAGTGAGCTAGCTAGATTTCTATTTTGAGAAAGAACATTAACTGTAAATTTTGTGATGTAAGAGTAGTTATTAGAAATACAGGGATGGCTGGGTATTTAGCTCAGTGGTTCCGCCACCTGCCTTGCAAGTGCAAGGTTCCGAGCCTGGAACCAAAAAAAAAAAAAAAAAAAAAAAAAAGAAAAACAGGACCTTTGAACAGATTAATGTATTTTTTAAAAAAAAAAAAAAAAAAAAAAAAGAGAAAGAAATACAGGATCTTTGAATCGTGATTAATGTAAGGAAGAGTCACAATTTGAGGTATCAAGTTTCAGGGCTTTGGACAGGTGTTTGCATTCAGTGAATCAATGAGGAAACTGCAGATATATTTTTTTGTGTGTGTGTAGAAGCGTGATAATACAAAAAATAATTATAATGTACATGCACATAATATAAATGTGCTCATCATTCTCTTGACAGCTATGATGCAGCTCTCAGCTGTACCACACCTGTGGTAATTAAAATTCTTTACATATTGGTGCTTTTGGTGTTAGGTTCATCCTTGAATTTCTTGCCCCTAGTTTAAGTTTAAAAGAAAAAATGTTGAGAAATAAGAGTATAAACTGATCAGCTTATTGGGAAAGTGTGTTCTTTGGCAATTCTTTCCATGATACAGTGCTGTTGAAAGCTTGCTTAACTCTATAGCTAATGATCACATACACTCAGAAGTGAAGAATCTCAGCGGGCTGAGCCAGCCCTGCCACCTAGACTCACACATGGATAACAAGCCTTGACACGAGGTATATGCTCTGAGGGGAAGTGATGGAGCAGAATAAATGGTAATGGAAGAAGTATAGACAATGGGAAAGGGATGGGGGATTAAATTAAATTCAGAAACTGGCCCTTTTGGATATCTAAGAACTCTGTTACTTTCTTGTGGGGGTTTTCAGCTTTTGGAAACTGCAAACATTGTTTTGTTTCCACAAATTTATTCTGTTAAGTGAACTAGTTACAGACAATTGCTTTCATTTCTTTAAAGTCTGATGATTTACAGAACTTGATATTAGCTCTGCTGTTTTGTAGAAACACATCTAGTTTATGCTTTTCTAGTAAAGCTTTATTAGTAGAAATAACTCATTTACCAATGTTTTCTGAAGTTCCATGCTTGCTGCCTCTGTAAAAATATAGTATTTACCCTGAAGATTTATTATGCTTGTAATAATAATGGTAACATTATTGAACATTTACTGTACATGAAACAATAGTCAAAATATTTTATGATATTAAATTTCTCTTTAATCCTCGTAACAGTTTTATGAAGTAGATTCCATTCTTACACCTGTTTTATATTGAGGAAACTGAGGCCCAAAAAGAAAAGCAACTTCCAAAAGTCAGTTATATATAATGGAGCAAGTATTGAAGTGTTAAGTGTGCTATTGAGTATGAGGAAAAGCTTTCACTTTGTAGTTCTTTCAAGCCTCTTTTCAGGAGGAGCACGATATTGCTTTCTGTCTACAAGCCTTAGATTAAGGGATGCCTTCGTTTTACTGGGGAATGGCTCCTTGTATTTACTTTACCAAAGCAGCTTTCCCTATAATTGTGAGAAACAGGTTCAAGTCCAAGAATAAGAATATTTTTAAAAACTGATACTTGCATTTTCTGAAGCCTGCCCCAAGTTTGAATGGCCCAAACCTGAAGTCATGGCCTCTCTTTCTGTGTTCTGTGACGATGGGCTAGGAGACGGTATCCTTTGTGAACAGTTAAAAGGAAGATAATTTTTTTCCATCTTTGGATGTTTAGGTGACAGAGCAAGAACTGAGAATTCAATTTAAACCTCCATTTATCTTTTTGCTCCTGCTTAGGCTAACTTATTATAATTTGAGAAAAGAACTGAAACAATATTGACAACCAGTAGGCCAAATCAGCAGAGCTGAGTCCCTTGGAAGAACATAGCTCTGCAGTGCAGCATCAACCTAAATGTCCCTTGGTTCCTTTTCCAGTATAATCTCCTTTTGCCCTAAGTCCTGAGCAGCCCTTGAGGAGGTGTTTCCTGAGTGAGAGAACTGGGTCTGTCCCCACTTGCTGATCAGCAGTAGCAGTCTGGTCCCAGCCGTGGAGCAAAAGTGTCAGCCTTTCAGATGCCCCATTGCACAGAAAGTTAAACTTTAGTTTGCTTTACACAAATAGACTGTATTTTCCCATTATTGATGTGCTGCTTCATTTTTTCATGGATAAGTAGACTGAATATGTTTTTGTTTTTTGTCAGAATACTAGCTGTGAAGTGAACTGTCACAGCAATGTGCTGAGTCGTTAACTGACATGATCTCTTCTACTTTAGCCTCAGGGTCTGCAGGAAAAGGAAGCCGACTGCCAGACCTAGGACATGACTACAAACCTCCCATGAGTGGTAAACCCCTTACTTTTGCATTTTTAGTGTCCTGTGGACATGAAGCAATTTTGCTTAAGTCCTGAAATGTCTTTTGTAGCCTGAGCAGTGGGTTGCATCATGTTTGCCTATTCCCTTTTAACTACAAGATCTAGTATTATCATTTTATGACGAATGTTTGCTGAATTATTTTAAGCCCATTATTATAGGATCCATAAATAAAATTGTTCTCCCACATATCCAACTTAAGGTAAGTCCTAACTGTTAAAATTAAGAATAATTAAAATGCTGATTTCTATTATTAGGCCAGGGATTTAGCTTAGTGGTGCCGCCACCTTGCAAGCACAGGGTCCTGAGTTCAATCCCTGGTACCAAAATGATAATAATAATAATTCCTATTATTTAGACAAATTCCTAAACAATTTCTAAATTCCTATCTCTAGAAAAAGAGATTTTTTGGCCCTGGGATTTAGCTCAGTGGTTCTGCTGCCTGCTTTGTAAGTGCAAGGGCCCAAGTTTAATCCCTGGTGCCACAAAAAAAAAGAGAGAGAGATATTTTTCAAAAATAAACCCTCTAGCAGTATTAGCCATCACTCAAAACAAGCTAAAGAAATATTTCAGAACCATTAAAGTTCTCCCAGTACCACTTACTGTACTGATTAGTTTGGGAATTCTAGAAAATTCTTCCCACTGTTCTCAGAATCCTAAGAGCTGATGCCTTCTAATTTAATAGCACATCCTTCTCTACAGAACTTTGCTCACCATTTCTAAGTTACTTTCACACATGAAATCACATTTGATCCTCAGAACACAGGAAAGCAGAGTCTCAGTGGAGAAGTAATACACCTGGAGCCATCCACTGATTTTAACATGGACCAAAATCTAGGTCTCTTGTCTTCTGACTGCTTTTTTCACTGTCACAGCACCCTAAAAAGCAGGGGGTTCCATGCCACATGTGAGAATCCAAAGTGGCAAAATGTCCACAGAAGTGATTAATAGAATTGACCCTGTGTTGTCACCTCTGCCCAGTATTGAGTAGAAGAACCTGTCTTCTGGAAACTCACAATCTAGTCATGGGAATGCAGTGATCTTTTACTGTCTGGCTGTCTGAATCAGAAATGGTTCAACTCATTCTTCAGTGAAATCAGCCTGTTTTTAGGAGAACCATACAAGCTTTCGTGCTTCCAAACATTTTATGCTCTAAACTTGAAGATTATTTACAGGTCCTCCTTCTCCATGAATTTCTTATATTCTGTGGTATCCACAGTATAATATCAAGATGTGAGAAAAGTAATTACTCCTTTGTCTTTTCTTTCATTTATGCATTTATTCATGCATGTGTGTTTTTAAAGGTCCAGATTCTATGTGGTAGGCTATGGTGTGAAGAGGAATAACTACTTGATAGAAAAAAGGAAAAACTGTAGAACTCAAGTCTTAAAGATGCATAGAAGATTGCTAAATGTCAAAGAGGGGTCAGACCTTCCAGAAAACACTAATGGCATATGCAAAGGGAGGCAGTGTAAAAGCACCTCTACCTAGTAGACAAGGGAGAGATTGAGTTGAAGAGGTAGGCAGAAGGGGCTCAAATGACAGCACTCCAAAATAATTAAGAGCATTAGCCGCTAGATAACGCGTGTGAACTCTGACACTACTGGTACACTGAAACTTCCATTTACTCAGGTCTGCTGTTACTCTGGTACCAGTGAAGAAAGTGTTAGGGGTAAAAGTAAAGAGTAAGAGAAAAGCTGTTAGGAAGCTATTGCAGTAGTCCAGATAAAGCATAAAGAAATGGCATGTGCTGTTGCCTCATGAAGGAGTGTGATATCCCCTTTTGCCGCTCACTCTTAGTCTTTCTTAGGTGGAAGCTTTTGTCCAGGTCGTGTATTAGATATCAGATGCAGTAAAATGAGAGTTTATCTCTGTTGCATACAGGAAAGAACTGCCACCACTTCTGCTTGCCTCTCATATCCAGCTCTCCAGCCTCTACTCTACAGTGACTGCCCCACCAAATGCTTGACCCAGTAGCTCAGCACTGTAATAATAGTGTTAGGGGAAACCTTACTCTTAACATGAATCATGTGCTTAATATTATTGGTTTTCATATTATCTTTCCCAAAGATAAAAAATGTTATTTTTTCAAAGGTTGCTGTGTACAATTTAAGTTGTCCTTAAAGGTATGCTTACCTTTTTCTCAGAAATTAAGGATAAAAGTGATTGAACCAAATGTAGAAGAATAAGCTATTAAGCTCTTCTAAATCAGCCCTAGATTTAGCACTGTGCATAGATATAGTCTATAAAATCATAGAATCAAAACTGGAAGGTCAGTGAATCCAGTGTTGCCAAAGGGATTGCCACAATGAGTGTGAGCTTAGATTAGATCAAAAATTTATAACCCAAGTGGTGGTATGTGAGAATCACTTTGGGAAATTTTTTAAAAATACAGTTTCACAGGGCTGGGGATTTAGCTCAGTGGTTTTGCCACCTGCCTTGAAGGCACAAGGTCCTAATTTTGATCCCCAGTACCAAAAAGAAAAGAAAAGAAAAAAAAAAAACAGTTTCACAGACCATACTTCCTGGGTAGAATCTTCCATAACATCTCACACTGGTAAGATGCCCTTCTTAAATACTTTCTGTAACCAAAGACTCATTACTTGGCACAGCAGCACATATCATTATTATACTGCTCTAATTGTTACATAAGAGGGAGAGAGTAGCTACAAGGAAAGACAGCAGATAACCTTAGTTTTATGGGATTTGCTGTATTTCATAATATGAGCATACATGAGTTGGGAAGAAAAGAAATATATTTCAAGAAATAGAAGGCAAAAGACTCAACTACGTTACCAAAGGCCTTGATTAAAAAAAAGTCTGGACCTCATCATATAAGCAATGGAAGAACAATAACAGAAGGAAGAAGGAAATCTGAATTTCTTTGAGGTCCTAAGTAGTCTGACCTCTGTATACTTCTCTGGCCTCATCTGCATCGTTTTTGCCTCATTCCCTTCCTTAAATTACCTCTCTCTGTGTTTAAGCAACTCTGGCTGCCTTTTTTGGCCTCAGGGTCCTTCCATAGCTGTTCCCACCTCCTGGAGTGTTTACATCCCTCAGATCTTTATATGATTGGATCTTTCTTGTCATTCAAATATCAGCTCAACTATCATCTTCTCAGAAGTTTTTTCTTTTTAAAAAATTATCAATACACTGAAACAGATTAAAGAAAATCAAACTTAGGATCCCGGTTGAGTGTACTGTGGGACTTTCCTAAATGGCTTGCCTCCTTAGTACTATGCACAGGACTCAAAAGTAGAGGAACTGGGCATGGTGGTGCATGCTTGTAATCTAAACACAGGAGGCTGAAGCAAGAAGATTGCTCTGTGTTCAAGATCAGCCTGGGCTACATGGTGAGTTCAAGGCCAGCCTGAACTATGTTACAAGACCCTGTCTCAAAAATACAAAAATAAATAAATAAAAAGAAATTATAGAAATATGCAAGTTTAGCCTCCAGGCAACTTCTCTAAAATTATGCGAAGTGTCTGTACACATGGACAGAGCCCTGTGCTCCCCTATTTCTCTTGGACAGAACCAGGGAGAGTGACCTCCTGAGAGTATCCATTCTAGATTCAGAAAAGTTTTTTCACCATTCAGTCTAGTCATCCAGTCACTCTATCCATCCCCTCATTTTTTCTGTAGCGCTCATTATTCACTAGTAATACCTTACTTGTCTATTGTTTACCCCAGCCCTGCCTCCAACATTCATATCTTTGTTGTTGACCATTTAATCCTTGGAGCATACTTAGAACAATGGCTGGCACATAATACATAGTATTAATGTGTATGTTCAGACTTATTTCTTTCCTGAAATTGAGAAAGAAAATTTCCTCTGCAAGCTGTATTTTTATTTAAAAAAAAAAAAAAAAAAGATGTGTCCTCCCGCCTCCACCCCTGCTCCCTGACACACACCCCCACCCCACCGCCATACTGGGGATTGAACTCAGGACCTTACACGTGGAAGACAGGAGTGGCACCATTGAGCTAAAACCCTGGCCCCAGAGAGGTGTTTTTTCAAGTAAGTTTCATAATCTTAGACATTTACATGTTAGAGAAACTCTTGTATGTGTATACACTTTTAAAATGGTTTTTAAAGCCAAAAAAACAAAAAGATTTAGAAGTGACATATTTTCAAGATGAGTTTGTACATCCTATAAATTACCAGAGAAGCAAAACTATTTATTTATCCAAGTATATATCCAAACACTTGAATGTTCTTAAATGCTCAATACATTTGAAGAAACTTTTATTGAATACCATCTTTGAGCAATTCTCTGTGGCGAGCCTGGCATACAGAGCAGACTCAGCTCTCTAGGAGGTCGTAATGTATAGGAGATAGCCATATTCATTTGGCACTTTAAACTGCACGGTAATGAGTACCATAAAGGAAGCTTGTCTAAAGTATATTGTAATGGTTCTGCGACCTAATTGAATGCATTTGTAATCCTCTAACAAACTAATAGTTGAACCATTTTCCTTGTGCAGGCAGCAACAGCCCCCATGGGAGCCCCTCTCCTCTAGACAGCAATATCCTGCTGGTCATCATTGTTTCTGTTGGCGTCATCACCATTGTGGTGGTCGTAATCATTGCTGTCTTTTGTACCCGGCGTACCACCTCTCACCAGAAAAAGTAAGGATCCCCAGATATAGTCCATAGATTTTGTGATTTTTTTTTTTTGCTTTTGTGTGACTTAGAGTGGTAAAAAGAATTACATAGACTACATCAGAAGCAATTTTAAATACAAGTACATTCATACACTGTTTCAGTCAATGAGCATGTCTTAGTCACATTTATGTCACTGGAACAAAATATCTGATACTTGCAACTTAAAGGAGAGGTTTATTTGGCTCATGATTTCAGAGGGTTCAGTCCATATGGGGGCTGGATTTAAGGCAGAAACAGCATTGGCAGAGGGCCTGGTAGATGAAAGTTGTTCAATCCATGGCAGACAGGAAACAGCAGTGGAGAAGTGCCAGTGGAAGAGGATCCAGGGACCGATTATAGAACCCAAAGTCATGCCCCCGTGACACACCCAGCACAACCAGAAGAGTGCCTTATTACAATCTCCTAGGCAGCTTTCAAACTAATCAAGTGGACAGTACAGCTTAACTGTCACAGAAGGTCCCATAAGATTATAGTGGAGCTGAAAAATTCCTGTACTAGTAAACATACAAATGAAGAAGAGGAAGAGAAAAAGAAACTACAGGAGAATAAAAGCCATAAGAGACTTTACAATAAAAGTTTAACAAAAGCTTTCACATACCTCAACAAGTTGCTTAAAAAGTCTGAAGCTGAGCATGGTGGTATAATCCTAGCACTGAGGCTTAGGCAAGAGGACTGCAAAGTTAAGCCCAGCCTGGGCGATTTAGCAATAGCAAGAGTCCTTATCTAAAAAACAATTGTGTTAAAAAGGCTAGGATGTAGCTTAGTGTAAAGGCACTAGATTTAGTCCTCTCTATCCCCAAAGTTTGAAAATAACCCCAAAACTGAAAGGGTTTCATTAACAGAGGAATGTTCATGGTGCATTATCTGCTTACAAGCAAATCTGTGAAGAGAAGCAGACAAACCAAGCAAACCATAACAACATAACTCTGAAAGGTGACACCTGCTCAAGAAGAGCCTCGGCCAGGGCATCAGGAGGAATTAATTCCAAAGAAGACTTTATCACAGGTGACAGCTTTGTGTGTGTCAGAGAAGATCTTTTAAACTTAAGACAGTCCTTGATCCTAGATCATATTTAACTCATTTCTGGCCAGCAAGACAGTAGTGATAACAAAACTACTTTATAGTATCCTGAAAGATTGTAAGATGGATGATTGCTCTGTGAAAGAGAAAGAAATTCATGTCTGTGCTTGTGACTATCTTTCATACTTGGTCTACCTGTCAAGAATGCATTTATTTAGTGGTGATAAATTTGCTTATTTTCAGTATATTGGGTATGTACAACCTGCCTTATAATTACTGCTGGTAATGACTTTGTTATCTTCTGTAGGTTGTGTGATGTTTTAAAATCTCTGCTCAAATAAAACAGCTTTCCACAGCTTGCATTATATCACTCTTCAGGATCATACTTGGTCTACCTGTCAAGAATGCATTTATTTAGTGGTGATAAATTTGCTTATTTTCAGTATATTGGGTATGTACAACCTGCCTTATAATTACTGCTGGTAATGACTTTGTTATCTTCTGTAGGTTGTGTGATGTTTTAAAATCTCTGCTCAAATAAAACAGCTTTCCACAGCTTGCATTATATCACTCTTCAGGAATGCATTTATTTAGTGGTGATAAATTTGCTTATTTTCAGTATATTGGGTATGTACAACCTGCCTTATAATTACTGCTGGTAATGACTTTGTTATCTTCTGTAGGTTGTGTGATGTTTTAAAATCTCTGCTAATAAATCTTTTTTTTTTTTTTTTTTTTTTCCTGCTACTGGGGGTCAAACTCAGGAACTTGCACTTGTGAGGCAGGTGGTGGCACCATTGAGCTAAATCCCTGGCCCTGTCTGCTTTTGATTATGGAAAATGGTTTCCCTTAAAAGCCTCAAAGATTACATTTTTTTTCCTACTCTAGAACTTATTTTTGCAAGCCTCTTTATTCGGCATTTCACATTTGTCTGTCTTTATAAATTTGCTTTTAGATCTGTTTTAGAAATCTTGAGATCTTTATTTAATAGAATCCAAAAACCAAAATGACAGACTTCTTTAATGCCATGGGAGATTTAAGATTCAAAGTAAGTGGAGGGGAGGGGGCGACGTGGAGATGGGGGTGGCGGCTGCAGGAAGCAGACTGCACTCTCTTTGTGGGCAACTTTGAAACTAAAGTGACAGAGGAGCTGCTTTTTGAGCCTTTCCACAAGACTGGGCCAGTAATAAAGGTGAAAATTCCAAAAGATAAGGAGGATAAACCAAAGCAATTTGTGTTTGTCAATTTTAAACATGAAGTATCTATTCCTTATGCAATAAATCTACTTAATGGGATCAGACTTTTTGGAAGGCCCATCAAAATTCAGTTTAGATCAGGAAGTAGTCATGTCTCACAGGATGTCAGTTTATCATAACCCCAGCATCATGTTGGAAATTCACACTCTACCTCCACATCTCCTAGCAGATATGAAAGGACTGGGGATAAGATGACACCATGACCACAGATAATTCAGAGATCATTCTCTTCTCCAGAAAATTACCAGAGACAAGCAGTGACGAGTGATGTTTTAAGACAGATACCATATGGTAGGAAATTTGGTTCTCCACATGTGGATCAGTCAGGATTTTCACCATCAGTTCAATCACATAATCATCTTATAACCAGTCTTCAAGCTCCCAGTGGCACCAGAACACACCATCACAGCGTAAAATCTGACAATTCTCGTCCCTACCTAGCAGACAGACATTATAGCTGAGAAAAGCGTTATACTGATCATGAGTCTGACCACCATTACAGAGAAGCAGAGAAGATTTCCTCTATGAAGATAGGAATCAGATGGCTAGAGCCATGATGATGATAAAAGAAGGAACAGTAAGTAGAGATAGAAAATGGTGCTCATCTTGACACTAGCAAATATTAAAAAGGACATTGTTTATAGGGCCATTTTAGGCTCTTTTGACTAAGTTGAGCTGAAAATATTTTGAAAAATTGTATAGAAAAGCTTTTCCAGTTGCCACATTTGTTTTTTGAAAAAGCTATTGCTACAGTTTTAATACAGAAATGAGAAGAACTGTTGTTCCAGTTTTATTTCATTAATAACTTTTCACCAGCTTCAGAAGGGTGGATTTTATACCGGGCATGATTAAAAAAAAAAAACATAAAGTTTAAATTTTGGAAAAAAAATTTATAGTAAAAGATATATCTCTAATGCCATAATGACATTGTGTCTTTTACTGTAACAAGTTTTAATAATCTAAACATTCCCATATACTTTGATCAGATCTCATAGATGGTTGAATTATAAAGCAAGTATTTTAATTTCTAAGTGAATTCAGCTTTGGTGTATATAATAGGAAGTCCATATTGATAGCTGTCAGCTAATCACATGGCTATCTGTATTTTGTTAATAAATAAGAAAATATAATTTTTGAGTGATTTTTTTTTTTAAGTTTCAGAAAGTTATTGTTTGTTAGAGGATAAATCATTTTGGTTAATGGAGAATTTAAATGTAAGTTCTGTGAGATGCCCTTTGTAACTACCCTGTATAAGTATAAATCTACATATACTATTTCATTCTAAAATTTTAGAAATTTTTTATGAAATCATATTTGATATATGACTGGTCACTCAGGAAGTTAAAGTATCTATGTGAAATATCTATATTTTTACATGGAAAATTACAGTATTAATGTAAATTCACTTTTTCTGGAAGAACAAAAATATTAATGCGTACTCATAAAATAGTAAAATGTTTTACTGAAAGTATTCTTTTTGGGAAAAAAGGCTCATGAAGTCTTTATATGCTGCCTCTCTCACTCAAATGTCAGAAATTTTAATATTTTCTAAGTTCCTAAGATCTGTACCAAGGACACATTTTATTACAGAGTACAAGTTAAAAATCTTTAAACTTTTTATGTAACAAGATGCTATTTCCCTTTCATTGCAAAATTGTTTATAAAATTCATTCCTTGAAAATTTTGGATCCTTTTTTAATACTAATCAGCATTTGTACTGTTAATTGTACTGTTACTTCTTAATATATTAAAAACATAAAAAGGAAAAAAATATAGTTCAAAGTAAGTAATAAAGGAGGTATTCTGCAGATTGACTAGGAAAATGAGTTGAGAATGGTTCTGTATTCCTGTTTTTGACTCTTTAACCCCTCCAGATTTGGGTTCCTTTGTTTAAAATGGTGTCTTAAATCTTCACAGATGTTTGCTCTTCTTTTTCTACAGTGAGCTGCTTTACAAGTGTTCTGTCAGCAACTGGAAAATATAAATGAGCTTTTCTCACTGCTTTTCTTCCTAATACAGGAAATTCCTCCCATTTAGATAGTAGTTTATTTATAGCATTTTACAACCTCAAAGTAAATAGAGAATTTGTCATTCTTGTTTCTTCAGCACATTCATTTGTCTCCTCACTTTCTACAGAATACCCAGGCTTCTCCTTCTTGAAGAAGATAGAGGCTATCAGATGATGTATTCGTTTTTGTGTTGCTGTGTCAAAATGCCCAAGGCTAGGTATTTTAGAAAGTAAAGAGGTTTATTTGGCTTATGATTGTAGTGACTGGAGAGTCCAAATAATATGGTACTAGTGCCTTGTGACGACCACCAGTCACCGCACAGCAGAGAATCAGAAAGAGAACCAGCCATGTAAAAAAGAGGGACTCGGAAGGAGGTGCTAGGCTCCCTAGGAAATGTGGTTCTCTTGAGAACCAGCCTTACCCTGCAAGAATTCCCTTAATCTCTTCTTAGGGACCTCCCACTCCACCCTACCTCTTTAAGGTTCCACCACCTCTTGTCACCATTAATATCAGCAGATAAGAACTACCTCAGAGTGAAACCATCTAATCTAAAACCTTTCTGCATTGGTTAAAATTGTTTCTCCCCCTTTTAAGTGTACTTCATCCTGTTTAGAGCCTGCTCTAGACCTCACTGTCTCCTGTCTTTCTAAGACTTGATAACTTCTGTTGTCCCTGTCTCCAGTAAAGCTGATCTCTCACTCCCTGTTGGGTTTGTCCTTTCAACGTTAAAGTTTGCTTAAACTTCCATCTTAAAATATAATTACAGTCCTAACCCTTCTTCTACTACATGGTTATTACCACCAGGTGTTTACAAACGCCTGTCTTCCCTTTTCTCCAGAATTCCTTGAATACAGTCATCTTTCAGAATCTGTAGGGATTTGGTTCCATAGCTTCTCCATGGGTACCAAAATTCAAGGATGCTCAAAGTGTTGTATAAAATGCCTTAGTATTTACTTACATCTAAGCTATACATACTCTCCTTTATATTATAAATTATCTCTAGATCATTTATACAGATTGAGTATCCCTTATCCTAAGTGCTTGATATATCAAATCTCTTTCTCTGCTCGAACAGAATAATTTCATAGCATTACATCACTTTCTAAGAGAATGAAGGCTTTCTTTAAGTGCTTCCTGACCACTTTTCTAGATTAGAACATTTTCATAGTTCACCAGTTGAATGCTCATAAATCAAAAATTTCAGATTTCAGAACATTTTGGATTTCATATTTTTAGATTAGGATATAAGACCAAATATTACTCATGTGATAATAGTTCCATAAGCTTATACCAGTGAATGATGGCATAGTCATCTCAGTCTGTATAAGTACACTCTGATATTCTTAAAATAAAATTGCTTAACAATGCATTTCTCAGGATATTCCCATTATTCAACATGAAACTGCAATGAAATGCTATATAAATAGTTGTTATACTATGTAGTTTATAGAGAATAATGACAAAAGTCTATACATGTTTAGTGTAGTTTCTTAGAAGATACTTTCAATTGTATAGTTGATTAAATCTGAGGATATGGCATCTACAGATACAAAGCACCAGCTGTACTTGTTTATACTCACTGTCCCTCCCTTCAATGCCTATTCATATTTCAGTTTTTCTAATTCTGCCCGTTTCACCAAAATTGCTTTTTCTGGGTTACTAGTAGTAACCTCCTTATTGCTCAAGACAAAGAATGCTTTTCAGTCTACTTCCTTCTTGACGCCTACTCTTCCTTGTATGCCATGACAACATACTTTAAATGTCACATCTTTCTCCATGCTATCTTGGGCCCAGCCGTTAAACTAATGGACACACTATCTCCATTCTGGTACTTAATAATCCTAGTTTGGGTTACTGTCTTAGTTACTTTTCTCATTGCAAAGATAAAATATCCAGCATCCAAAGTTAAAGGAGGAAAGGTTTATTTAGCTCACAGTTTGTAGAGGTCACCTGGCTCCAAGGCTGGGTGACATGGTAGAGGGCCATCACAGAGGAGAAACACTTTATGGCAGGCAGAAGGCAGCAACAGCAGCAGCCCTGTTTCTGTCCCTCGTATTCCATCTCACACCCAGGGTAGGGTACCCTTAATCCCAGCATCACACACCCTAGATCAGCCACTTCCAAGAAGCCTCACCTATGACCACATGAGGCTTTGAGGGGAACATCTAAATGCAAGCCATAAGAGTTACTTAAAAAATGGTTCCCTCTTTCCTTTATAAGGCATAGATTCTACCTCTGCTTCATTGTTGTATTTCTACTTAACAGTTCTTTCTCTGTGAATTGGAAACTTATAGAGGAGCCTTCTGCTTTAGAGGTTGATTTTATTTTATTTTTCTCATTGAGTTTATTGGTATGCGTTAGGTATACAGTATAGTTACATTCATCATTGGGATCTTGTACCTTTATATGACAGGTCTTGGTTCTCATTTTTTTAGAGATTGATTTTAAAATGCCACCTTTTAACATTCAATAAAAGTATTCCCAAGGCAATATACCCTAATATAGTCTCTGAATGTATGTGTACTAGGTAGAGATATGAGGTGTTTACTCTTTTTAAAAATAAACTTCTAGCCTCTGAGTTTTGTTTTAGTTCCCATCTTTGCTTGAAGCATCTATTAGGAGGTCAGTTTTTAATTAATTACTTAAGCCTTTTGACAAATATGTTAAAAGAATTTACTTTTTAAAGCTCCTTTTAATTTGGTGCCTAGGAAACGAGCTGCCTGCAAATCAGTGAATGGCTCCCACAAATATAAAGGGAACTCCAAAGATGTCAAACCTCCAGATCTCTGGATCCATCATGAGAGACTAGAGCTGAAACCCATTGACAAGTCTCCTGACCCAAACCCCATTATGACTGATACTCCCATTCCTCGCAACTCTCAAGACATCACGCCAGTGGACAATTCCATGGACAGCAATATCCATCAAAGGCGGAACTCATACAGAGGTACCATTCTCAATGCAGTTGTTTTTCCAAATGTAGGAAGACTATTTCCATTTCCAGTTTGTAAAATTGCCTTAATTTGGTGATTCCTATAAGAGGTTAGGTTTAAGGAAACATGTTACAAGGTTTGGTCAACATTTGATGAAGAACTGTTACTTTGTGACAGGGGAGAGATTCTGTGCCCATAAGGGACTGTAGATCTTTTTTTAAGTCTCTCATCAGGTTTCTCTAAAGTATTTGAGTTACCTAGCACATGACCATGCATTGCATTCTGTCCCTTCCATTGGACTCCAGCTATCCTCATGATATTCGGGTCATTCTTGGCTGGATGTTTTTACAAACACCACACCGAACCTTAGCAGGCAGCGTGATGTCACCCACTCTGTCAGTGCTCTCTTCTTGTGCTGCTCCAGTGCAGACGTGCCTGGTCTCTATTGCATCATTTGTGAGTCCTGAATCTTCTCCTAGAAATATTTTACTGCTGAGGCTACTCAGTGGCTTATGGCACACACTTACAGCTAACTTCTATATTTGATATCTAGGACATGAATCAGAGGACAGCATGTCTACACTGGCTGGAAGGCGGGGGATGAGACCAAAAATGATGATGCCCTTTGACTCTCAGCCACCCCAGCGTACGTATAAGTTTCTCTTTTTCTCCATTGTTGTCCCATCATGGTAGGGCAGAGCTGTGGATGATCTCTGACTTCACACAATTCTAACACAAGACAATCTACCAAAGCTATGATACCTTGAAGGAAGAAATATCAAACAGCTGCTGTATTTTGCAGTATTGCTCTGGAGACTGGCATCTTGAAGTTATGAGTAAATAAACTAAAAGGCTGATTTCTTCAGTCTCCCCAGAATGGGAAAGCATCATTTTCCTCTGAAAGTGGCTGCCAGGTATCACAAGCATTCCTTAGGCTTCCTGACACATGGTGGTTGTTGAAGAGCCCCTGTGGAGCTTTTATTTTTTTTTTAATTAGTGGACTTTTTTTTTTTAAGGAGTTATTTTAGGGTTAGTTTAGCATGGATTTTTGAAACTCATTTGATTCAACCTTCTTTCCCTGCACTCCACAGTACTGGAAATCAAGCCCAGAGCTACTCTGCTGCTGAGCTACATCTCCAGTCCTTTGTAATTTTTATTTTGAGACAAGGTCTCTCTAGAGTTGCCCAAGCAGAGGTCAAATTTTTGATGCTCTTGCCTCCGACTCCCTCATTATTGGTGTATGCCACTGTACCTGTCTTTCGAAACTCATTTTAATAAGCTTAAAAGTTGCTGAACCTCCTTTTTCAAAATACACAAGTAAAAATCAAACAGTAATGCTACAGACCAATTCTTTTTTTTTGAACTACTATATCCTCTCCTGGTCTCAGTTTTCAAGTTAAGATACCTTTCAGACTAGCTGACACTGTGGGGCTATTCATTGAGGGAGTGCTCAACCATCTCTCTGCTAAAAGATGATGAGCTTTAAATAGCCATGAATGCCCTTTCACATACAGAGGTGCACTATGGCATCCTCCACCTGGGAAAGTTCCTCTCTCCCTCTCTTTTCTGGTATAAACTGCAAATATGCAGATGTGTGCACCCCCCTCCATGCCCCAGGCTCACAGTACACAAATGTGGTAGATATTAAATTATAAAAAATCAGCTTTAGGGGCTGGGGATGTAGCTCAGTGGCCCCCACGCTTGCCTCACATGTGCAAGATCCTGAGTCCAATCCCTGGTACCAAAAAAAAAATCAGCTTTGGAAGAAAAAGGCTCTATTCTTCAGATTTATGGCATTGAATGTATAATGGATAAGTAACTTATGCTTAGGGTCTGTGATAGAAAAGCCTGGACTTGGAAGTATGCAGGAAGAAACCAGGGTTTTCCTCTTGTCCGGGTGTCCTGCATAGTGGCCCCAGGTTTAAAGTTACACTTGTCCAGAAAGAGTAAGCTAGTCCATTCTGTTTTTAACTCACAAGAGGATGCTAGTTTGACTGCTTATTCTGTTTGTTTTGTATAAGATCTCAATTCCTACCTGAACAAGCTTATTTTTAAAACTTAAACTAACTGTCTCTGTTTCTTTTAAAAGTATTAAGGGAAAAAGATATGTGATGCCAGTTGCCATCATTCTTTTTTTTTCTCTGTTTTTTGATGGTGGGAAGGAGCATGCAGGAATATCCAGTATGTAATTTGTACTTCAACAATTAGGGATCAGATAGAATATTTTAAATTCAAGAATCCGAAACGAGGTTAAATGTTAAAACAGACACATTTGTGCCCAGACATACTTGTGGATTTTAAGTTTTGAGAGCTCCTTTTAAAAATCCATATAACTAATATATTTTTTAAGAAGCTGGGTTTCCATGAGTTCTGACTTGAGGCTGGAGCCATGCACTCATTATCCACCTATACTGGTCTGAAAAAGCAGGCCAGTGCTAGGCAGGACTTGGCTGGCATCAGAATGGTGTCCAGTCCTCATAGAACTATTTGAGTTCAGATTCAGCTAACAGCTGTTGCTGCCTACTGTAGTATAGATAGGTGCTGTTCATGGTTCATTGTTATTATTTGGCAATGCCTTAAAAAATAAAAAAGTCCATTCTGTTTTTTTTTTTTTTTGTGAAAGTCCACTATACTTCACATGCCTTCAGATTGTGCTTTCTGGACCAAAATCAGGAGGTTTATTCCCTCACCTCAGCCTGAATTTTGAAAAAGGCTGATTCTTCAGCATCTCACTTCTAAAAACTATTAGAGCCCTCTTCAACTATCTCTTCTGGATTATTTGGTTTATTTCCGTAGACCTCCTGGAGCCTTCTGGTTTCTAAGAACAACTCAGAAGAAAAAGCCAGCCCTCATTCTGTTGCCCAGGCCTTGAGCAAGGGAGGAGCAGTTGGCTGTTCCACTTGCTTGTTTGCTTGCGGCTAGGACAGAAGATAGCTAAAGAATAAATGGGTCCATTTCTTTTTCTAGGATTTCTCTTCACCAAATGGTTAATGGTCCCACAAAGATCTAGAAATCCTTGGTGACAGAAGACGTTTTAACCAGCTCCAAAGGGCTAAATTTTACTATAAAGTTAATGAAGTCCTTGCTGGCAGGGGGTGGGGGATTCCCTGTATCTACCTTGCCTATTTGGTGAGGGAGTTTAGAGCTGGTGATCTTAATCTCAAACATTCAATTTCTGCAACTGTTTTAAGAAAATTTTATTCCCAAACTAGCCTTCTGATTTTTCTTTCTTTGTTTACATCTCTGAAGTTGAACATGAAGCCTCATTAAAAAGGCTTCATAGAAAGTTGTATGTAGAATCTCAGTGTGGAACTAAGTGCAATAAATTGAATCCTTTAGGAAAGATGCATTTGTATTTTAAAATGCTGATGGGTATGATTGAAGAAATGGTTTCATAAGCCTATAGTCCATGCTTTTAGTACTAAATTGGAACATCAAAGTCAATTTGATTTGCATTCCTTCTAAAATACAAAAACTAAGCCAGGGATTTAACTCAGTGACACCATGCCTGCCTCTCATGCGCAAGGTCCTGAGTTTGATCCCCGCTATGGGGCCAGGGTGGGGAGAGAGATATGAAAACTAGTTAAACAGATGCTCCTGTATTAATGCCATTTCGTGCCTCTTTAAGCATGTAAGAAAAGAGAATGAATTAGGGCTGTACTCAAGGTGAAGGAAAAGGGACTGTAGTACCTTCAGCAACCCCCCCTTCCCCTAAAATCCCTAAACCACTATTTACTTATGGATTTGCAATTTTTGTTATATTCAAATAGATATTTTTAATAACTAATGCAGTCTATGTTTATAATAGAAAACTTGGAAAATATTGATAAAAATATTTTTTAAATTCTGACCACTCTTCCTGCATCATTGCTTTCGTTGTTAACATGTTAGTACATATTCCTTGGGGCTTTTTTCTATACATACACAGATGACCACAAAGGAGTGCATTCATTTGTTAAAACAAAGGTAAAAATCATTAGCCGATTGTCCAAATCTAGCTATCTGCAATAAAAAGCCAAGGCTGTATGTGTGGTGGGGAGGGGGTGACTGGCTCTTAAACTGTGATTTGTGTGTGTCTGTACAAGCATGTTAAGCATTTCTCTGTCTTGTGTTCATCCACAGCTGTGATTAGTGCCCATCCCATCCATTCCCTCGATAACCCTCACCATCATTTCCACTCCAGCAGCCTCGCTTCTCCAGCTCGCAGTCATCTCTACCACCCGGGCAGCCCATGGCCCATTGGCACATCCATGTCCCTTTCAGACAGGGCCAATTCCACAGGTGAGAGATGAGGCTCGAGCCCAAGTGGAAAAAAAGAGTTGGCAAGCAGAATGGGGAAGGACTTGCCCTACTTAGAAATTTTCAGTGTTGTGTATTTATTGTAACGTTGTTATGATGGACTCAAATTTGTTTCTGTGAAATCTAGCCCATTTTTCTCCCTAAGTTTTGCTCAGTGAAGAATTTCATTTTAGTAAAAAATAATAATAAATCCTGTAAGGCTCTCTTATTCTGTAAAACTGATATCATAATTAGTCCTTTTTCTAACTTTGATTTTTTTTTGTAATCATCCAGTTTGGAAGGAAACGCGTTCTGGGTAGTTTTCTGATGCAAGTGGTTGCCTTTGCCTTGCAGTCACCCTAACACTGGAGAAGTACATCAGGCAGCCATTAGGTTCAGGTTGCTCTCCATGAACCAAAGTAGAAAATATCCAGGGGCAGTGGAGTCACCAGCCGCATCAAGGTTTTGTCTCTGGTAACCCTCAGATTGCCCAATGGATCATGCAAATTAGGAAGGAATGCCCATCCTAAAAAACAAAATTAGCATAATAATTTGCAGTGTAGCTAAAGAAATACATTGCCAAATAACGTTAGTTTGAAAATCTTAACATTATCAAACAGTTTTAAGAAGGAAATAAGGTAAAGGGACAGAAAACAATAAATATCATTGTTCCTCATAATTACAAGTTAATTTCCATCTTTCACTTATAAACTGCAAATCTAGTAGCTTTTTATGGATATGGCATACTATTTTTTCCATCACTGGAACATTCCCTGTTAATAGTTATATATTGGGCCGGGGATTTAGCTCAGTGGCTCTCCTGCCTGCCTCACACGCACAAGGTCCTGAGTTTGATCCCTGGTACCAAAAAAAAAAAAAAGGTTATTTATATTACTGGTAGACCTAAGTTTTGATGGTTCTAGAAAATGAGGAAATCTCAAGTGAGCTCCAGTTAAAAGAACTTTATGTGTAGAAGTTTGAATTGCCAATAACATCCCTCTCTTCTTAAGTTTTCATCATTCATAAATATACCCAAAAGATCAAATGAAGATCGAAGCTTTATTAAGGGATGCCTAAAAACTCAACATTTTCTGCTCCAAAAACTGTTACCTGGTTTGATGAATGCTGCTTGAACCCATGTCTAAACTCAGCCTTACTGCTAACTCCCTTCAAATCCAGGTTTGGGGTTCTACTTTAAGGGAAACATAGTCTCCAAGATAGACAATTACTCCAGCCAGCTGCATAGAGAACCAAAGTCTGCCTCCTGGACATAATCTCAAATAGAGCAAAGTACCAGACAGCCCTCTAGACTTGTTCTTGGAAAGTTTTTTTGCCCAACTGTGCTTCTCCATTTTGAAGGCCAAGGAATCGCACACACTAGAATGTGGGTCTGCCTCAGTGGATGGCAGTCTCCCAGTCATATTAGCCCCCTTCCCTGACTCCTCCTTGGCTAGGAAGGGCTTAGGCACTGAAGAGAGGCATGGCACCAACCTCCATCCAAAAGGTCTAATATTGGTGAAAGTTCCCCTCTGTATGGACTGATGCAGAAAGTAAAAAGAGGAAAAACAATGGTTTGTATCACCAAAGGATTCCTTGCTTTAATGACCAGAGGAGAATAAAAGAAGGTAAAACTGATACATTCACTGACGATTGATTTGAAAAGTGTCTAAAAGTGGTCCAGGTCAAGCCCTTGTGTCTCTAGAGCTCAGTGACTTCACAGCCCTGGATATGAGGACTGAGTAGGATTTGAGCTAGCCAGGCAGTCCCCATTCTGGGGGCATTTACTGTGTCACCACCACTTAACAGAGGAAGAGAACTTGTCACTTGTCTAAACACTTGACCACTGTGAACTTTGTGTGTCTTAAATTCTTGAGAGGTAAGTGAGGAATTAGGCCTCTTGCCAAAGTCGAAGTTTTAGTCACAGCCTATTGTCTGAGTAGGTAGTGCTACAGTGTCAGGAAGCAGCCCTCACAGAAAAGGCATCATGCCTGGTGCCTCCTGGAATTGAATAAGGCAGCCCTGGTCAGTGGCAGCAGCCAGGGCTCTGATCCGTGCAGGTGATTCATTGTTCTCTTTCATGTTTCCCACCATCTCTTAAAGGCATCTGAGGCAGTCAGGGTAAGCCTGTGTGCTCAGAGCTGTCCCACCATGTCTGCCTGAGGTGTTTATGACTCGAACCCACTCTCATCTCCCCTACCCTGCTTCCTTCCTAACCAGCTCCCCACTCAGGCCAGGGTCACACAGACGATGGTCAGCTTGAGTAAGCTAAGTGCCAGGCTCAGCCAAACCTTTAGAGGGTGAGAAGTGACCTAGGCCCAGAGGGTTATTATTACAGCCAGACCCACTTAGAAGGGCATGTTGGTCCCTCATCACTGGGGCCCTATGGCCTTTAAGTTAAGGAGATAGTGCTCATGGCCAGGCTCCTCAGAACCCAAGGGAACAGGTTCATTGCTCCCTCACAAGGGAAGCAGGTGGGTTTCTGCAGATTGCTCATGAAGCATTACTTGTAAGGCTGAGGACTCCATGAGTCAGAAGAGACCTTCAGACTGCTTGGTGTGCAGCCTGTTGCATGCCTCTGTTCCAGAGTGTGGTAGTTTGCCCCACTTAAGCTGTTAAGATCTTCCTTGGAGAGTCCCCCCACCAGTGACCTTAGTGCTGCTTCTGCCCTGCAGTGGGGAGACTTGCAGGGAGAGGCAGTAACTATGTGATCCCTCTGAGCATGGGTGTGGGAGTCAGTGCACAAGGATTTATATTCCGTCCTGCTGGTTCTATGTCCATGGGTAACTTGCTTACTTCCTTTGCCAGTGCCTTCTGAGTTACTCTGAGGAGTAAATGACCTGATGAACGTAAAGCACTGAGCTACAGCCTGGTATAGAGAAAACACTTTAGTAATCTGCAAAGAAAAGAACCTTTTCAGTTGTTCAGGCACTGTGTCCAACTCTTCGTACATCTCATTTAATCTTCAGTGGATTATGTGTTGTTCTCCATTTTGTAGATTAAGATATTAAAACTCAGAGGCTTGAACTTTGCCAAGTTCACCCAGCTAGTGTACCGAGACTGGAGTGTGGGTGTGTCTGATTCCAGAGCCAGTGCTCTTCCTGCCCATCATACTGCCTTCAGGACAGCTAATTGTTACCAAGGTCTTCCTGAGTCTTTCCCCAGGCTCACCTCCATGTACTTTTGTCTGGGCCACGTTGCCCTTCATTTGACATGATCTTAGAGCTGTTTGCAAACCTCTTGCATGGCTGTCTAGTCCTCTCTTGAGCTGTGAGTCTTTTGCTCTGGGAAGGCTGAAACCAGTCACAGTCCCCAGTGGGTATATAGGACCTATGACATTGGCCTCCCCTGTGGTAACCACCAGGTCTTCCCAGCAGAGCTGACTCCTGTCAGTACTCAGCCAGCCTTGGTGACCAGACATCCCTGTCTGTGAAAGGTTAGTCAGTGAGTAAAATTTTACTTTTTCTTTTATATTCATTTATTTATAACTTATTAGACAGTAGTCTCAGGAATATTTGTATGTGCTCCATAAGTACTGAAGAAAACTTTAAATCTGTAAAATTGTGGCCACTTGCCTATGTAGTTGAAAATATTGAAACAGCTAGTTGAGGATTGTTTGAGACTCAGTCTGTTCTTAATCCTTGGTAGTAGTGGGTAGTCCATGTTCCCTTGGGGTAGTACTGATCCCAACTGATTTAAGAAACCCCTAGAAGTAGCCAAAAGTCTGCATATTTTTAATTATAAAAGAAATACTAACATTTAAGCTTTCTTGCTGTAGAATCCATTCGAAATACCCCCAGCACTGACACCATGCCAGCCTCCTCATCTCAAACATGCTGTACTGACCATCAGGATCCTGAAGGTGCTACCAGCTCCTCCTACTTGGCCAGCTCCCAAGAGGAAGATGTGGGCCAGAGTCTTCCCACAGCCCACGTTCGCCCTTCGCACCCATTAAAGAGCTTCGCGGTGCCAGCAATCCCGCCCCCCGGACCTCCCACTTATGATCCTGCGCTGCCAAGCACACCGTTACTATCCCAGCAAGGTGAGTGAGGACAGCAGGACCACTAGAGGGACCCTTTGGTTCAGGCTTGGAACAGAAGTCACACCACTTGTTTGATGAATAAGAAAGCAAATGTCTTTTGTGCTTTTCCAGCAGTTAGAGTAGCAGTGTGTCATTGTCCCATACAATGACTACATGGGCTCTCCTCCTTTGGGAATACATCTGGGGGGAGCAAGGAATGATCTTTTGAATTATGCTTTGTAAAATGGAGTGGCATGGGAGTGGGCAACAGATGTGGTCTGCCCAGCGCCCTGGAATCACTTCACTCCACAAGATGCCTGCCAGCTAAAGAAGGGTCAGGGAAGCCAGGACTTAAACCAGAAGGAGTCTTGGAATGGACGAAGAATGCTGCCGGAGGGAATTCACTTGGGACCACTGACCATAGTTTCTTTTTTCCCTACTCTTTGATATCATTGTCTCTTGTGATGGTTTGTTTCAAATTAAATCTGCAGTTCTCAAATTTTTTAGTCTCAGGACCTCTTTATATCTTAAAAGCTACCAAGAACACAAAAGAGCTTTTTTTCTCATGGATTATGCTTGCCAGCATTTGCTGTATTAGAAATAAAATTTAGAAACTTTTAAAACATTTCATTAGTTTATTTAAAATAGCAGTAATATATCATGTAAGATAAATAGCATATTTTATGAAAAATAGCTTTTTCAAAAAATACAGTGAGAAGAGTTATATTTTCTAAATATCTTTAGAGCCTGACTTAATAGAAGACAGCTGGAGTCTTCTCATATCTGCTTCTGCACTCAGGCTATTGCAATATGTTGTTTTGGTTGAAATACAAGAAAATCTGGCCTCCCGGATACATAGTTGGCAAAAGGAAGAGTATTTTTATAACTTTTTGAGATATTTGTGGATATTCTTTTTATTGTTGTTACTATAGCAAAACTCAACAAGTTGTCATTTCCTAAAGCTTTATTGGTGGTGTGGAATCTGAAACCATACCGTGAACACCTCATTAGAATGCCATTAGAATCCTTTGTTCTATCTTGCATTTTTAATGTATAGTACTGAAATAAACCACACATTAATTATTTGGAAAATCTTGGTTCACTAACTTATGCAAATCCTTCAATTATTGATGCATTTCATTATTAAGTATCTAAAAGCATATTCATTAAAATCAAAGAATATTAGTATTAAGCTGTCAGCACCAGGATATTCTAGTTTTTCAAGATTATGGTTTTCAGTTAAAAACTAAATTTTATCATTGACAATAAATACTGTCCATTATTTTCCTTCTATTGGTAGGCTTACTCAATGTCTAGAAAATGTCTGAAGGGCCCATTTGTTGGTCTTTGAAAGAAGTGTTCTGAATCTGTCTGTCACCAGTCCCTTTCTTTAAGATAACATTATACTTGGTAACACGTTTTCTGCATTCTTTCCGTTTTGTCAATGCAGTATTTAAAAGATGTGAAGTCAGGGTCAGGGATTTAGCTCAGTAGCATCGCACCTGCCTCACAAGCGCAAGTTCCTGAGTTCAATCTCCAGTATGGGGGTGTGTGTGTGTGTGTGTGTGAGAAATCAAACGTCAAGCTGTAACATAATAAAGAATTTTTACTAATTAAGGGGGGTCCTAAGTGAAGCAGGTTTTGTAATTGCAAGTCCTTCTCAGTTTGGTGCCTCTACCTTAATTTGTGCCAAGTCTCTAAGGAGTTTTGCGTACTTTTGCTTTTGTACCTGTGGTGCAGAGGTAACAACAGATGCTCTTTGTGGAGTCTTGACCTCCCAGACATTCTGCAGGGAGTCCTTGGACCAGTACACTTTGTGAACCACCAGGCTGGGTTGTTAGTTTTCTCAAGCCAGTGGACTGTTTTCTCTGCCTTCGTGAATGCCACACTGCTGCCCTTCCATCTTGTTCCCATCGCATTTCAGAGCAGGATCTCTGTACTGGGCCTGTGTGCATCCTTTATCCTGAAGCATCCTTTGGAGCTTGGGTGCCTTCATAAGGTCTGAGGTGCAGCCTTAGCCACCACCTGACATGCCCTTTCTGCCTCAGCTCTGAACCATCACCTTCACTCAGTGAAGACAGCCTCCATCGGGACTTTAGGAAGGAGCCGGCCTCCTATGCCAGTGGTTGTTCCCAGTGCCCCTGAAGTGCAGGAGACCACGAGGATGCTGGAAGACTCTGAGAGTGTAAGTTCACAAGGCCATCAGGCCAACTATAATGTGTAGGCCCATGTCCCAGGGTCTGGAAGCATGCTGATGAAGCTGATAGTATATGCATCCCCAGGCCTCAACACTCAGAGGGGTGAGGCAGATGTGTTTTGAGCATGTCCTCTGAACTAGACACATTCTGAAGGATTCTTTCTTCTGCCTATTCTGGTGTGCCTTCACTTAGCTTATCACATCAGACCAGCCTCCCTCTCAGTTTCTTCCCTTCTTTCTGCTCCTTCTTGCTTTGAACTATGTACATTTTTCTACCCCTCAGTTCTGCTCTGTGAGTTTTTCCAAGCAGGATGCTGGAGAAGATACTTGAGAGGTCCCTCTATAAACAAATTTGCCTGGCCCCTCCCTGATCTTTTACTCTGAACTCCCCATAAGTATGTTTGCCTCTGCATTTCTAGGTACAAGACTCTCTAAAAGGAAAGCTTGGGCCCAGAGAAACAAGGAGATACTAACTCTTAACTGTGGCAGAGACCTAGAAGGGGCAAGTGACCAGGCTTGTAGCTTGTGAGGTCCTTGTGACCTGGGCAGTGTTGGGAGAAAGGCATTTTGTATGTTAGATAAAGACATCTCAGTATCCTTGAGCACATCTTGCTACCTGTGACTCTTCTAAGCCAACCTGAGTCTCTCTAGACCATTCTCTGGGCTTTTCCTTCCTAGACAGCTTCACTGGTCACGCCCAGTAACTGTATTCTCCTGTCCACAGAGTTATGAACCAGATGAGCTGACCAAAGAGATGGCCCACCTGGAAGGACTAATGAAGGACCTAAATGCCATCACAACAGCATGACGACCTTCACCAAGACACAGCTCCAAGCCTGAGTCTACAAGTCTTGGAACTTAGCCTTGAAAGCAAGGAATTGTACAGAGTATGAGAGGACAGCATTTGAGAACACAGTGAGCCAGCAAACCAGCCAGCACCTCTGCGTGAGGCTGACTCCAGGCACAGCCACCTGCCTTCTGGTCAGCCTGGAAGACGCCTGTGTCGAGGCCGCTTCCCTTTGCCTGCTGATAGCCTGCAGGACTGGGCATCATGGGCCAAAATTCTGTGTCCAGGAAAGAGGCGAGAAGTGCAACCTGCGTTTCACTTTGTTGTCAGGCTGTGTCTTTGTGCTGCGACTGCATCACCTTTATGGAGTATAGACATTGGCATTTATGTACAATTTTATTTGTGTCCTATTTTATTTTACCCTAAAAAAAAAACAACAAAAAAAAAACTATCAAAAACCAAGGAAGTCCATGGTGTTCTCCACAAGTGGTTGACATTTGGCTGCTTGTTCTAAACGCATATGGAAAGTCATTGACAGTGTGGGTTGTTCCAGAGGTTGGCTTGTTTTTGGTTTTGTTTTTATGTTTAATTCTGAGATGTTGCATCCTCTACCAGCTGTTAATCCATCACTTTGAGGGGGAGGAAATACTGCGTTGCTGTTTGTAAGCTTTTTTTATTATTTTTTTATTATAATTATTAAAGGCCTGACTTTCTCCTCTCATCACTGTGAGATTACAGATCTATTTGAATGAAATGTAACGTTGAAAAGACTTGTTTGTTGCTTTCTGTGCAGATTCAGTATTGGGGTGGGGGTTGGGGGTTGGGAAAAGGAAACGGAGGGGCTGCTGAGGTCCTGTGAATGTTTCAGTCATTGTACTTTCTTCCAGAAGCCTGCAGAGAATGGAAGCATCTTTATTGTCCTTTCCTGGCATGTCCATCTTAATTGTCACTGCATTGTGACTGGAGTTCCGTTTGAGTCTGGTTAAAAATTCTTCTGTGCAATAGGTGGGTTTGAGGATGTAGCCCCCTGAGTCCTGGTCATATCCTGATAGTAATGTCTGTTCTGAGGACCCTGGGCTGTGTTTCTAGTTGCAGGAGGATGCTGAGTACAGCACGAGCCTGGCTCTGTTCCTGGAAGTCAGAAAGCACACTCTTCCTTGCTGCTGGCAGTCATTGCCTTTGGGGAGGTGGGAGATCCAGTAAGGAGCTTTGTGTCCTCGGGCAGGCTGGCTCTCACTTCCACATTGCAGAGTCCCGTCAGAAGAAGCATATGAAAGATGAGGCAAGGTGGGGGCTATAGCACCCATGAGGCTTCCCCACATATTTCTGAACATAGTTCTTCAAGTGTCAGGGGACAGGCAGCAGAGGGCCTGCAGAGGCAGCTGCCCCTCCCTCCCACAGCTCAGTCAAACCCCAGGTAGAATGAGGCAGCAAGAAGTTTGAGGTATGCTGAGGGCTCAGCCACACACAACAAGCCCTTGCCTTTGCAGAGTTCTTGTGGGTTTTTGTTTTGTTCTATTTTGTTTTGAAAAGGTAAGGAGCTAAGATGTATGATTGTTTTTTTATTTTTAATATTAAGACAATGTATTGAAAAATAAAAGATTGACCCTCAAGTGTCCTACTCCCCAGGAGACAGTGTGGGGCAGTGAAGAGATAAAAGGGTCTGGGTTCTTAGCTAACCAGCAGGTGTTCCCACCTACTTGTCCATGTGTGCCCCCCACTCCTTCGCAGGTCCCCCCGCAGGCTGTGGGCAGGCCATCGGCCTCTGAACATGAGTCATTTGCCCCTCCTTGTGTCTTAGCACACATTTGCTGTTCTGCAAGATGGACGCTTGCATTGACGATTGGGGGGCAACAAAAAGTGCAGTGTTAGAACTGCTGCCATGCTAGCCGGTTGCACCATGGTGCCAGGCAGGGTTCTGGAAACCCTGTGCATATCATCTGATCCTAAAAAGCAGTCAAAGCATCTTGGCCAGCAGGAGGGCTAGAAACTGTCTTCCCTTTTGCCCAAAGAACATGCTCGGTATTTAGGGCATTCCTCCGGGAACCCCGACACTTCTGTTACCTCAGGGCCTTGGTACCTGGATACTGCCGCAGAATTGGGGTGGGTTAGGGGAGGGACCTATTTTTAAATAAAAAGACTATTCAAAGTTGGGATTTTTTAAAAATTAAGAAAAGGGAAAGCTATTCTGTATTGCACCTTTTCACAGTTTAATACATTTTCCTGTGATTTTTGAAACTAAACCATTGTGTGTCGTGTTATGTCCTAGTTGAGCTGTTGCTCAGCAGCTTCCTTCGGGAAGATATGGAACAACTGTGTCTGTTGCCTTGTTGCCTGCTGGAGGGGGCCTGGAGGACTGCTGGGACTGGGTTCTGTACACACTTGTTGGGCCTTTGCTGTAGTTGATGCTGTAAACTCTATGGCTTTTTAAAAATCATGTTTTTATTTAGTATTGGAAATCCAATACACTTTTTTAATCCAATCAAATTCTGGTCTGGTCAAAGAGTTATTTTCCTTTGTCCTTAAAACAACTTTAGGACCCACTGTTTCCCAATCTCTAATTGATTTTCCTCTTGCTCTCAAAACTTTTGAGTCTCTAGTTTTAAGGGAGCCTATGGAAGAGTCGCAGGAGCCAGAAGTCTGACCATCTGCTATCCCCAAAGACGAGTTCTGTCCCTGTCCATACCACCACTGTTGCTGCCCTACAGGGACTGAGCACCGAGGAATGGCAGGGGTCACATGATATACAGCTCCCTCTGTCACATGGGGCTGGCCTTCCCACACCCAGCCCACCACTCTCAAACGCCTCATAATAGGCAGCAGTCCCCAGCGAAACCAGGCATTTGTCAGGCTGCCTCATCCCCTCGGTGCTTTCAGTCTGTAAGATTCCTTATGATGGCCCAAGCGGAAAAGCCATGGGTGTCCCGAGCCTGCCAGACAGGGCTACATACAGAGTGCTGTGTCCCTCTGTCCCTGTGTTCCATCTGCCCTCGTGTTTACCTATATGTAGGAAACTTAGATCCCATTGTTCCCACTGGCAGTGCCCTTTTGGCATCAATGAAGTCTGAGGTCCCCAAGCTCAAAGTCTGCTTGTCTCAAGTCACCTGGTGCATCCGCCTCTCTAGCCACAAAGGTCTACTTGGGAGACACTTTGTGCAAAGATGCCCTCTCCACTGCCACAGCACCTGTGCTACCTGCTTGCGTCCCTAGATGGAGCTCTTAGTACATTTCACAGGATGGATCTCTGAGCCTTTTTCCAACTGGCCTGCAGACTCAGTGGGGACAAGCAAATTTTGTGAACACTTAATGTTGGAGATAGCATCTGACAGTAGCAGATGAGTGGACCAAGTCCTGAGGACTCATGACTGGAGCATTATGTAAGGCTTCCCCGTATACCCTCCTTGCCTTTACAGGGATCCCAGTCAGTTCCTAGGATTCAGGTACCAGGACCTCCCATTTCAGTAGCTGTGGCCCTTTGGCATCCTGGAGTGAACTTGAAAGACAACTTACCTCCCTGACAGGGTCCTAAGAAATGATGCTGATGCACAACTAACTTGGACTGGGAACTACGACAAGGATGTCCTCCTGATTGGTGCGGAGATGAGCAATTTGGACCAGGAAGAAGAGACACCGACCCATCCAGTCAGCCAGCACCTCCCAGTCTCAGCCACCTTCCTGCCAGGCGTGGGGAGCACCATCAGGGGAAGAGAGGAATACACAAGTCACCAAAAAGGTGATCATGGGGGTGCGGGCAGGGCACGGACAAGCAGGGAGCCAAAGTGGGGCCACTCCAGAGACAAAAGGGCCCTAGACAGTAGGTTTCTGACTCCCAACCTTGGGTTTCCGTTAGCAAAGTGGGAGAGCACAGGGTGCTTGGAAAAAAGGTGTGTGAGAGCAGTAGAAGGAAAATAGTGTTTTGAATTTTGCATAATAATGTGTAAAATAATATTTAAAACTACAGTTACCATTAAGCCTAGTGGATGATGTTCTTGCCAAGTATGCTCTTACTCAACTAAGAATTTGATGGATTTAGGAAGCAAAAAGTGACCTAGAGCTAAGCTCAAGTAAATTTACAGGGAGTGCTTGCTAAACTTGAGAGAATTTGTAAGTTTCTGGAATAATTGGGAATGGGAGTCTGGCAGCTGCTATCAAGATGGTGAGAATGTGGAAACAGCTGGCCTTGGGATGTCTCAAAGAATTTAAAAAAAAAAAAAAAAAAAAAAGAGGTCTCAGGGATGGTTTAATGTTGTTTGCGCTTCTATAAAGTAAACCCCTTGAACTCTCCAAACTTTATGTAACACCTGTCACATGCACACAGCCTTACGTGAGCTCTGGGTCACTCCCCAAGCAGAGAAAGCCTCTAGCCAGTGCAGTGGACAGTTAATGCACCTGGCATGGTGCAGTGATCCATAAATGCAATTGGTTACTGGAAGCAGGAGCTTGCACTCAGAAGTAACTAGAAGCTGAACCTGAGAATCCAAGGGGCAGAGGAGAGAGTGTGAGACCTTTCACAGGTCAGGAAATGGGGGCTCCGGTCAGCATTCTCCAGATTTTAAAAGGCATTTGTGTCTGGATCATTGGTTTGATTTTCCACCCCTCCCATCATCCTGGGGCAGAGCCCCATCACCTTGTTGCTAGGTGCCTGGCCCTCATTATGACTCTTATCTGTCCTAGAGAGGAAATCTAGGAGCCACTCTAGCTCTTCCCTCAACACCTCAGCCCAATGCTCAGCAAACCCTGCCAGCTCCACTTCTGAAATGTCACCTCCTTGTGTGCTAGGACCCCCTAAAGGTCTTCCTGCCTCAGCCTCCTGGTAACCCCATGATTGATGATCATCCACATGGCTGTCCAGATGCCTTTTCTCATTCAAATCTGTCTCCCCGCTGCTGCTCCACATCCTGCAATAGCTCTATCACTTGCCCTACAGAACAGAGTTCTTGGCCCTGTCAGCCTCTTCCCTTTTACTTCCCACTGAATCTACCCCTTCACCCCACTTGGGCCTAGCAACAGAAAGCAGTTTGCTCTTGCGTAATCAGCTATTGTGTCTGATCTTCGTACTATTTCTGGTGTCCCACATTTTCTTCCAATCCTCTTGCCTCACCACTGGCTTTCTCTGCTAGGAAATCTCTTTATGTTTAAAAGCCCCAGACCGCTGCTTATTTTTTCTTTGTTTTGTGTTTTGATGGTTGTTTTTTTGAGACAGGGTCTCACTATGTGTTTCACCTGGCTTTGAACTCACTATGTAGTCCAGGCTGGCGGTTCTCCTGTCTCAGCTTCCCAAGTGCTGGGATTTCAGGTGTGCACCACCATACCCAGCATCCCTGATCATTCTTGTTCCTATTTTTGTCTCCTTCAATACACAGTGACCTACTTAAGGAAAGGAACCATGCCTGTGCTTGGATTCTCCAACCCGGTGTGCTGTAGGTCTTCTTTAAATGAACTTGTCACATGAGGAAGATAAAATTTGAAATCAGGTAACTTAATATATCATGGCCTGGTGCTTGTGTCTTTGACAAGGCCGATATCTTTCTGGGAGCATATTCTTAGGAAAGTGTTGCAGAGGAAGTAAGATTGAGCTGAGTCTAACATGATAGATAGAAGGGACCTGCAGGGACAAGAAAGAGGACAGGTCCCAGCCATCCTGTATCTGACTTGTGCTCAGCCTCCTATCATTGGATTAAGGGCAGAGGCCATCCGGAATTCACAGTTCTGCCTGGCTGAGAGTGAGAGCTGCTGCTGTCTGCCCCCACAGCCGTGGATTGCTCAGGGACAGTGTTGGGCCCAGCCAAGCTGGGTTTGCAGGTCAGGTACCATAGCTTAGGGTCAGTTGTAGTGAATTAAGAATAAGGTAGGTAAACTCAAGACCCAGGCCTTGCTGAAAATTCTTGGCAGCTCATGTCTTTCTGAAAGAGGGAAGAGGGAGGATCTAGTCTTGAAGGCAAAGTGATAGATCAGGTTCCCATAGACAAAGCTGCATGGGAGATGGCAGGGGAACCCACTCATGAACATCCTAGACTAACCCAAAAGAGACACTGGCTGCAACTGAAGCCAAAGCAGTCTTGTGTGGGCAGGTGGTATAAGAGAAGGCACACTGGGGCCAGACAGAGGCAGACTTCCTGTCAGTTTCCAGATACCCCTGAATGCCAGACACTGAGGATGCAAATGAGTGAGACTGTCTCTTGCCATCGTCTAGAGGAAAGTATAGACTTTTAACAGACGGAAACTGCCATCCTGTGTGGAAAGTGCTAAGAGACCTGAATAAAATGACCTGGGGAAGGAAGACTTTGTAACCATTACGGCCCACCATACAGGTAACAGTGAGAATGATGGTGAGTTCCCCTAAAAAAGGAATGACGGTTCCTTCTAGCACTGCTTGAATGATTTCTGAAAAGCAGAAAATTACAATGAAAGTGCTTTTAGATGATTTGCTCCACAGAAAGTAAGGGAGAGCCCTAGTACAGGACCTGGAAACTGACCACAAAGTGGGAGTTCACGGCTATAAATTTCCCTTGATGCTTTGCTTCTGCTGCATCCCTCTCTTTTAGTATGTTGCATTTATCTCAACTTGTGATTTCTTCTTTGACTCACTGTTTATTTGAGTATGTGTTGGAGAATTTTTTTATTTGTGAATTTTTCAAATTTCTTTTTTACAGATTTCTAATGTCATTGTATTATGGCCAAGGAATAGATTCCATATGATTTTAATCCTTTTAAATCTATTGAGACTGATTTTGTGGCTTTATACATGGTCTGTATTGGAGAATTTCCTATATGCCTTTGAGAAGAATGTATATTATGATTTGGGAAGGACTGTTCAAGAGAGGCCTATTCCATCTGATTGGCTTGCATTTTTCAAACCTTCTGGCTTTTTCTGCTGGTCTTTCGTCTAGTTGTCATATCCATTACTGAAAGTGGGGTTTGGAGCCTACAACTATTCCTGTTGAATTACCTATTTTTCCCTTTCATTATACCATATTTACTTCATAAACTTTGGGACCCTGTTGTTATGTGTATGAATTTTTGTAATTGTTAAATCTTCCTGATGGATTGGCCATTTTATTGCTATAAAATGTCCTTGTCCTTTAGCAGTAATTTTTGTCTTAAAGTCTACTTTGGCATTAGTATACTACTCCAGCTCTCTTTTAAAAACATGGTTAAGAAAATAAAAAGGCAAACCACAAACTAAGAAAAAATGTTTGCAAAACATATATCTCAAAAGGACTTGTATCTTGAACATATTAATAATTCATTATAAGGAAACAAATGACTCAATAAAAACAGATGGGTAAAGATTTAAACAGTAACTTTACTAAAGCACATATGTGGACACCAAATAAATACCTGAAAAGATGCTCAGCACCTTTAGTCATTGTCAGAATGCAAATTAAAAACCAGAGTTAGTATTTGCCATTGAATGGTTAAAATCAAGAAGACTGATAGGGCCGGGGATTTAGC